TTAATCTATTTACTTGTCTCTGATATATTGTAGATCAGACCAATTATGTTAATCTATTTACTTGTCTCTGATATATTGTCGATCAGACCAATTATGTCAATCTATTAACTTGTCTCTGCTGCATTTTGTTTTTTTAAAGGAAAATAAAAAAAGTATTTTTGACATTTTTGCTCTGAAAATGGTTACCGGGGGAAATCTAGCATGCAACTCTTTAAATGTAGGGTCACTTGAAATTAAGTCAACAGACCCTTTAATTTTCATTTATCGAAAGAAAGTTATTTAAGTTTGTATTTCAAAATTCTGAAAATGAATTCTTGTTTTCTCTCCAAATCCCCGACGTTACTTTTAATGGGCCCGTTAAAACCTTTTGTTTAAGTAAAATTCCTCTTTCTAACTTTGTTTAAAAACCTTTCATTTTTCTTCTAAACTTCTGAACTTTAAATACCTTTACTTTAATTTACCCCTCTCTGCATACTCTGGAAATTACATGTTAGCTTATTTGTTAAATCTTCTAAAAAAACAAGATTAAAAAATATGGAGGCTTCTGATCAAGCATGTGTACTAAGGTGTCCACGAATTATAACTAATTAAAAAAAGGAGCACGTACTCGATGAGCGCAGTAATTAATCCAATTGCCCTAAACATACTATGAAATATTCTTGATAAACTAGGTCTAAAGTTTTTTAATTCTAGTAGATAATCACATCCAAAGTTTTAAAAACTACTGAAGAAAGTAAAAAAAAAACTTGAAGTTATAAGTTCCATTTATCCGTTGAAATTTAAAAAAAATATATTAAAAATAAATCAGTCAGGTCCAAAAAACCATCATAAATACTCTTTTTTTTTAGAAAAGTACACGTTTTGGAGTTTTTTTTAACTTAACTCATAATTTTGTTAAGCTCTGTAGGGCTTTTTCTAACTTTCTCTAACTTATATTTTAGAGTTTTAGAGATATTGAGCTAAAAATGGTCCTCCGTAGACACCTTTATGTGCACCAAGAACGTATACAGGGGGGGGGGGCAGGGAGGAACGCCCCACTACTGATTTCTTATTTGGAATTCGAAATCTTTTATTTGATCTCCCCTGACTGCTATAAATACAGGATAAATCTACAGTACAGATTAGGAACTGAAGACGATTATTTTACCTATATCAGTTTAAAATATAAATTCACTTTATTTGCAAATTCTCAGTTGTTGGAAAGATCCCCCTGTATTCCCCATTCTTCTGTATATTTGTAATGTTGGCAGTTTGCAATCGTAACCATTTAGTTTCAATTTAACATACCCCCCCCCCTCAAAGGAAACTGTACTTAGGCTCGGGGGAAACTGTAGTAAGGCTAGGAAGAAAGTGTAAGGCTCGGAGGAAATGTAGTAAGGCTCGGAGGAAACTGTAGTAAGGCTCGGAGGAAACTAAAGTAAGGCCCAGAAGAAACTGTAGTAAGGCTAGGAAGAAAGTGTAAGGCTTGGAGGAAATGTAGTAAGGCTCGGAGGAAACTGTAGTAAGGCTCGGAGGAAACTAAAGTAAGGCCCAGAAGAAACTGTAGTAAGGCTCGGAAGAAACTTTAGTAAGACTCGGAGGAAACTATAGTAAGGCTCGGAGGAAACTATAGTTAGACTCGGAGGAAACTGCAGTAAGGCTCGGAAGAAACTTTAGTAAGACTCGGAGGAAACTATAGTAAGGCTCGGAGGAAACTATAGTTAGGCTCGGAGGAAACTGTAGTAACGCTCGGAGGAAACTGTAATAAGGCTCGGAAGAAACTGTAGTAAGGCTCGGAAGAAAATTTAGTAAGGCTCGGAAGAAACTTTAGTAAGGCTCGGAGGAAACTGCAGTAAGCCTCGGAGGAAATGTAGTAAGGCTCGGAGGAAACTAAAGTAAGGCTCGGAGGATACTATAGTAAGGCTCGGAGGATACTAAAGTAAGGCTCGGAGGATACTATAGTAAGGCTCGGAGGATACCATAGTAAGGCTCGGAGGATACTATAGTAAGGCTCGGAGGATACTATAGTAAGGCTCGGAGGATACTATAGTAAGGCTCGGAGGATACTATAGTAAAGCTCGGAGGATACTATAGTAAGGCTCGGAGGAAAGGACGATTGTTTCTATTGTTTCTATTGGATATAAAAGGGAAATTGACATTGCATTTAAAAAAGGTCTGTTTACGCAAACTGTAAATGTAATTTCAAGTGACCCTCATCTTCAAGAAAAGTATAGATATGCCCAATTCACAACGGTACCCTTAAAGCTTTGTCTGATCAAGCATGAATTAGATATCAATTTTTGTTTGTGGTTTGCGCTTATCTCTTGCAGAAAAACATCTTATAATTATCAGAATGAAATACGTTAAATCTAATAAACGACAATATCTTCCTCATTGTTGATCAGGTTTTAAGGGTACCGTTGTGAATTCAACATTTCCATCTTTGCATGGAGTATCACTTGAAACTAAGATGAAATTATAAAAAAAAAAACATTAATTCAGAAACATGTGATAATGTGTTAAAATAATTTTAGAGTCACTCGTTTGTAAAACTTTCATTTTTTAACTACACGCCTTATTGTTAGAACAGGGAATGCTTACTCTCTCGTAGTAAACAATATGGAGTTACTCTATTAACTAATGTATAATTCTTTAGTTTAGATTAGGATTAGGTCCCTACAGCGTAATAACAAGTTCTGCACTGTTATATATGTCGTAGTTAATCTATATATGAATTTGGGTTGTCTGTTTGTTTGTTTGTATCCAATAAACGTCAAAACGGCTGAACCGATCGGGCCCAAATTTTTTGTGGGACATCTAGGGACCCCAGGGAAGGTTTATAAATGATTGAAATTTTAAATATTTGTCTCCATCAAAATTCGATCTTCATTAAATTTTTTAAAATTTTGAAAATCCACGAAATTTTTTGTGAAAATCCGCGAATTATTTTTGTTTTGTTTTACGATGTACACAAAGAGAACATGTTCACAATTAATTTAGAAGATGGGCGCGAAGCGCCCTCTACGGCTAGTATAACATATTCAACAAATCGCAATATAGATATGACGGAGTTTTATATATATCTATGTATACATAGAATGGGTTAATCGCAATACATTATTTACATATTTGCTAATGGCACATTTAGGTTTATGAACAACAACATAA